TAAAAGCTGTTTTTATAAATATTTACTGATCTTTAAATAGATACTTAAATGCAAACTAGCTCAAGGGACAGTTTAAAATATCCTGGATTTTAAAGTAAACAGAACCACCGCCAAGCAAAACCCTTGTTTAAATCTTTCTTCTATAGGGTAGGACTTTTTTTTTTTTTTAAGCTCTAATTGTAAGGCTTCCAAAATTCTAATTTTATCCTATGAACATTTATTGGGTACCCAGTGGTAATAATGACCGCATTTATTGAGACGCTGCCTAAGTGTGGAGCTCTGTACTAGGTGCCAGACACTTAAAAAAAAAAAAAAAGTCTTTCACTGTTTCCAGTTTGGTGAGGGAGAAGAAAGTCATATACATATGGGTTAATTTAATTTAGTAAATGCCATGATGGAATTTTGTATAATATATTGTGAGTGATCAATTTAATGCTACCTGGACCTGGAAGAATCGAGAAAGACAGAGCAAGTTAACTCTGAACTGGGACTCTTAAAGAAGGTAGAGAATGGAAACAACTTGGAACCATGAAAGAGCCTGATCTATTTAGAGGCAGTGATTAGTAATTGTGGTTAGATAGGGTTTGTAGGAGAGCTGGAATGGGAGCAGTGGGAATCATAAAGTGCTAGAAAATGAGGCTGCCAGTTGGTGAAGAACTTTGCCAAACTTTAAGAATTTGAGTTTTATTTAATGTACTGTAAGGAACCCACATGTAAGCAAGAGAATGATATAAACACACTTGATTCTAAAGAGATAATTCTGATAGTAGGATAGATGCCTAAAGCTAAGAATTTCAAAATAACTACAGATGGTTCCTGACTCAAAATGGTTTGACTTACAGTTTTTCAACTTTATGATGGGTTTATTAGGACATAAGGCCATTGTAAGTTGGTAAACATCTGGACTTAAAATGGTTTGATTTGCCATTTTTTGATTTTATGATGGATTTATTGGAGGTATTAAATGCATTTTTGACTCATGATATTTTTTTTTGTGTGTGTGTCCTTTTTGAGACCGGCTACACCGCGCTCAGCCAGTGAGCGCTGTGAACGCACCAGTCATCCCTATATAGGATCCGAACCCGCGGCGGGAGTGCCACCGCGCTCCCAGCACCGCACTCTCCCGAGTGCACCACAGGCTCAGCCCGACTCATATTTTTAATTTATGATGGGTTCATTGGGATGTAAGCCCATTGGAAGTCAAGCGGCACCTGTGTAAGGATTTGGATCACAAGATTATGGAGGCTGACAGTTCCCAAGATCTGTGGGGTGAATTGGCAAGCTGGAGACCTAGGATTGCTGATGGTATAGGTCCAGCCTGAAGTCCGGAAGAGCCTATGTTTCAGTTCAAATTTGAAGGCAGAAAAAAAGCCAATGTTTCAGTTCAAAGGCAATCAGGCAGGAAGAAGTCTCTCTTACTGAGGGAATGGTCAATTTTTTTGTTCTGTTTAGGCCTTCAGCTGATTGTATGAGGCCCATCTTATGGAGGGCAGTCTGCTTTATCCAGTCTATCAATTTAAATGTTAATCTCATCCAAAAACACCCATACAGAAATAATATTTGACTAAATATCTCGGTACCTGGTAGCCATTCAAGTTGACATGTAAAATTTAACCATCACCCATACTTGGTGTGGAACTCAGTTGTTGACATTTGTCTTTATAGTCCTTGAAAAACCTCAGTAATGCTGTCATGAATTGTCAGATTCTGAACAATATGGCTTGTTGATATGTACTCCAGGATGAGTTAACCTTTCTTCCAAATAAAAGAATGAATTAATATGAAGGCTGGAGTTACTCATTATGAATCAGTTGAGTTTTACAGAATATTTTCCAATTAGAATGCTTTCTCTTTTTTTGCTCTAGATCAGGGGTCTGCAAACTATGGTCCATCCTCAGGTCAAATCTGGCTTGTTAATTCTCTTTGTAAATTAAGTTTTACTGTAACATAGTCACCTCCATTCTATTGTGTACAGCTGATTTATATTACAGTGGCAGAGCTGGGTATTTGAGACAGAAACTGAATGGCCTGCAAAACTGAAAGTATTTATTACAGAAGTTTTGTTGAGCCATTCTATCTGGCAATAGTTAATTATATGACTAATTATTGAAGATTTTTTTCTAGCTCCTGATACTAACATCATGTCATTAGTATATACAGTGCTCCTCCCCCCCACACCCTGTTACTGGTATGTGTGTGTGATTATGTTCTTTTAATCTACAAATAGTTTCCTTGGCCAAGATTTGTCAACAGTGAATGGGGTTGGATTTGTGCTGTAGGCTAAAATGTAGCACTACTTTATACTACTCAAAATAATTACATTGTCCGAAAACAAGGGTTTTTACTTCAGCTTTTGTAAAAATTAAATTTCTATTTCTTGATCTGTAGGTGGTCTCTATTCTCAGAATCAAATGATGTAATCTGCAAATCAGTATACATAATTTTCAGCATTTCCCCCCCAAAACTGATAGGATGAATAATAATAACAGTAATAATAATAATCAGTGATGGAGTAAATGTTCCTGTAATGTATTTGTTCCTTTAGTAAAACCTTATAGTCAATGTTAACATTTAGGTGCAGAGCTCCCTAACAGCTCCCTTTTCCATGTTTCTAAATGTATAACCTCTTCTCCAAACATGGAATCATACTATATATACAGCTGTGTAAAATACTTCTCTCCCACTCATATTTAATATATTTTGGATGTCCTTCCATATTAAAAAAAGGGTTAAGTTAGTATTTAAACATTATCAAGTAATTTACAGATATTATTTCTATAGATTTATTTTAAGTAGTGCTGTCAGGAGTGTCCTTGTGCTTATATATTTTTGTACTTATCTGATATTTCTTTAGGATAAATTCCCAATAGAAGGTCTTGTCTATGCTGAAACTTAGATACTTGTTACCAGATTACTTTAGAAAGTTTGTACCAATTAACATGGCTACAAAAGTATGTGAACATTCCCTTCACTGTGTTGACACCAGTCTTTTAAATAATTGCCATGTGATTTAAAAATCCAAAAACATTATTGGCTTTTTTATTTCTCCCATTATTAGTGAGGTTGGACATCTTTTCTTATCTTTATTTCCATTTACATGTACTCCCAGCCTACTTATGCTATTTCTTGGGTGTTCCTAAAAAAAAATTTCTCCAACTAATAGATTTGCACTTGTGAGAGAAAGTAGTGGGCTGGTTGTCCTTCTTGATAATGGTTTAGACAAGACTTTGAGTTCATTTAGATGGGATATTATCTGATTGAAAAAAACATTTTGTTATAGATTATAGATCACAGAACAGAGTTAGAACAGATCTGGTGACAGAGTACCTTCATCTGGTGCTTTAATTTGAGAGTGTTTAATCAAATGAATTAAAGTAAGTCCTATTCTGAGAGTTCTGGAATCTCCAAAATTTTAAGTGGTTGTTGTGGACCTCAGAGCTGGTGGTAGTTTCTCTTTGGCCAATATTTTAAAATTTCGAATTGTTAATTTAAATGTACCTGGCTTTTAAGGCTGCTTATATACTTTATATATCTATAAAACCCAAATTTAATTTATAAATTATATTTAAAGATTCAAAATAATATTAATATGGCATAATGTTTTATTAAAACTAAATCATTAACGTTGGGATCAATATGATAGAATGAAATAGTTTCAGGTCTGGTTTTATTAATCTTATTTTGATTTTAATATTAATATAGAGAATGACATTATTAAGTGTGGTCAAAATGGTGTAATTAATTTTATGCACGTTTGTCATTTTGTGATCCTTACTGATTAAAAATGACAAAGCATTCTTTGCGTACCAGTTTCAATAGGGTGTCACTAGATAATTCTGTAAAGCTGTCTTGCTTCAAATCATGATATTATGCCCAGTGATGTCATTTGCCTTTTAGTAAGAAGCAGCTGCAATTGCAAACATAAACCACAAATGGGGGCATTGAAATTATGAGATGATAAATCTGTTTTAAGGTAGCTATTCAGATAATCTGTTATGTGCTTATCAATTTTTAAGGTTCATATTTGAAATGAAAGCCTAGAATTCTTGTAGAGAACTTGTTAACTTCCATGAATAAGTTATGGGCCCTAATTTGAGAATCATTATGTTAGGTATCCGTAATGATATATACTTCTACAGCTTTTATTTTAAATTCAGCAGATTTAAAATTGCTTTTTCTAATTATTGTACAAATTTATAAATGCTATTCTTTATTTCTCTACTTAACTTGTAACAAATAGTTTAGACTGGCAATGGTCCATGCATATGTTTTGAGTGGCACTGTATGACAATAACAGGATGAAGTAAAATGATGGGTAAAACAGAAAAAAGGCAAATAAAAATTAAGTAAAAAAAGGACAAGAAGGTGAAAATAAACATTGAGAGAACATTGAAAAGACATAGCTAAAAAATAAAGTTTAATGTAATCAAAAGGGCAGATTGAGCTAAAAGTAGGAAAATGCTGTGCTGTTAAACTTTTATTAGAAGATAATTAATAAAATAAACTGTATTAGAATAATGCAAAATAATTTTAAATTTTAAGTGATTAGGATATAGTAGAAAAAAATTGATTTTTTGATCTGTGAGCACATTGTCATGCAGTATGATTCAGTTAGACTTTCCCCAGTCTCCAATTCTCAGCAAATGCCTGTATATGGAATTGCAGGTGCCTACCTAACAAATATTCCGGAGTGTTGACATTTGAAAGTAAATACATAGATAGATTTAACATTTTTAATTTCAGCAGTACATGTTCAATTCCCAGAAGCGGGAAACAGATTTCTTCAGCTAGAGAAAGCTGCAGAATTAGCATTGAATTGATATGCATGTGGTATATAAGTTTATTTGTTGAATCTTAGAGCTCATTGATCATCTTTAATTATTTTGGGTAGAAAATAACCTTTTAAACCAATGTATTTTTCAGAAGGTGAAAAAAAACCTTCTGCCTACTGATGGACATTATACATATATGTGTTAACTGTTGCATATTTTCCTTTGTAGGCTCAGATTATTCATCAGCATGGTTACCTGGGAATGAATCACCATGGCAGGCCACAACTGTTTCATCTAACCATCGAAATAACCATATCAGGAGACATAGTGTAGCTTCTGACAGTGGAGACACCGGCATTGGAACTTCCTGTTCTGACAGTGTTGAAGGTGAACTAAAATTCTTAGTGTTTACATGTGAATGGTTGTGATAAGAATATTCAAGGGATATGTTTTATTGTTCTAAACTAATGATTATAGTGTTCGAATATTTAACAGTGTTCAGTGTTGCTATATATCAAATGAAATTGTCCCTCTAGCCATCTTATAGGTTTTTCATTTTTTTAACTAAACTTTTTATTTTGAGATAATTATAGATTCACATGCAGTTTTAAGAAATAATACAGAGTGATTTCATGTACCCTTTATCTGTTTTACTCCCATAGTAATATCTTGCGAAACTACAATACAGTATCACAACCAGGATATTGACATTGATATGGTCAAGATACAGAACATTTTCATATATCTCACGTTGCTTACACCCACTTCTCTCTCTCTCCTGACTCTCCTCCCCCTTAACTCTTGGAAACCACTTATCTATTCTCCATATCCGTAATTTTGTCATCTCAAGAATGTTGTATTTAACCTTTTGGAATTGGCTTTTTTTCCTCTGGAGATTAATCCAGGTTATTGCATGTATCAACAGTTCATTCTTTTTTATTGATAAATAGTATTCAGCAATGGTGGTACTGTAGAGAGCACACTTTGACCATTTAAAAGTGTGATGTCTCCAGTACATGTGGGTTGTTTGCCGTTTTTGACTGTTATGAATAAAGCTGCAATAAATGTGTGTGTACAGGTTTTGGTGTGAACATATTTCTTCATTCCTTGGGGTAGATGCCCAGAAGTGCAATTGCTGGATTGTGTAGTAGTTGCATGTTTAGTTTTTAAAGAAACCATCACAGTGCTCTGCAGAGTGACTGTAGCATTTTCATTAGCAGTGTTTGTACAGGTGATCCAGTTTTCTCTTTATCCTTGGTAGCATTTGGTGTTTTTAAAATTTTAGCCATTCTAATAGTAGTATAGTGATATCTCATTGTGGTAGTGATCTCTCTCTCCCTTTTTTAAATAAACATTATTTTTTAGGAGTGTTTTTAGAGCGGCAGAAAAATTGATTGGAAGGAACAGAGATTTCCCAAATACCCCTTGACCCACACATGCACGGCCTCCCCCAATATTAACATGTCCCACCAGAGTGGAATATTTGTTACAATTGATGAACTTACATTGACACGTTATTATCACCCAGAATCCATAGTTTACATCAGGGTTCACTCCTAGGTGTTGTGTATTCTATTGGTTTGGACAAATGTATAATGACATGTGTCCACCATTATATATAAAATACATAATAGTTTCACTGCCCTAAGAATTCTCTATGCCTTTCCTATTCTTCCCTCCCTCTCCCCAGCTCCTAACAACCACTGGTCTTTTTACTATCGCCATAGTTTTGCCTTTTCAAGAATATCATATAGTTGGAATCACACAGTATGTAACCTTTTCAGATCGGTTTCCTTCACTCAGTAATATACATTTAAGTTTCCTCTATGTCTTTTCATGGCTTATAGCTCATTTGTTTTTAGTGCTGAATAATATTCCATTGTCTAGATGTACCATAATTTACATATCTATTTATCTGCTGAAGTACATATTGGTTGCTTTCAAGTTTTGTCAGTTATGAATAAAGCTGCTATAAACTAATTCATTTGCACGTTTTTGTGTGGACATCAGTTTTTACCTCCTTTGGGTAAATATCAAGGAGTGTGATTGCTGGATTGTTGTATGGTAATATATGTAGCTTTGTAATAAATTGCTAAACTGTCTTTCAAAGTGGCTGTACTATTTTGCATTCCCACTAGCAATGGATGAGAGTTTTGTTGCTCTACATCATCACCAGCATTTGGTATTGTCAATATTTTGGATTTTGCCATCCTAATAGGAGTGTCATCATATTTTGTTGTTTTAATTTACATTTCCCTGATGATATGTGATGTAGAACATCTTTTTATATGATTATTAGCCATCTGTATATCTTCTTTGATGAGGTGTCTGTTAAAGTCTTTGGCCTATTTTTTAATTGGGTTGTTTGTTTTCTTATTATCGAGTTTTAAGAGGTTTTTGTATGTTTTGGATAATAGTCTTTTATCAGTTGTGTCTTTTGTGAGTATTCTCTTCCAGTCTGTGGCTTGGCTTCTCATTCTCTTGACATTGTCTTTCTTTGAGCAGAGCTGTTAATTTTAATGAAGTCCAGCTTATCAATTGTTTCTTTCATGGATTGTGCCTTTGGTATTACATCTAAAAAGTCAACACCATTGCTAAGGTCATCTAGATTTTCTACTGTGTTATTTTCTAGGAGGTCTGTAGTTTTGTGTTTTGCATTTAAGTCTATAGTCCATTTTGAATTAATTTTTGTGAATGGTGTTATGGTACACTTTTGTAGTTGTCCCACAGTCGATGGGTGTTCTGTTCCATTTTTTTCTCTTTGTTTTTGGTTTTAGAAGTTTCTTTTTTTTTTTTTTTTTTGTCTTTTTGTCTTTTTCCGTGTCCGGCAACGGATCGCAACCTTCAGGGTTGCCCCTGCACCGGACCGGGGACCGGCAACAGGACCGCAACCCTCGGTGTTGCTCCCGCGCCTCGCTCAGCCAGCGAGCGCGAACCGGTCTGTATGTGGGATCAGAACCCTCGGGCGGGAGCGCCGCCACGCTTCCCAAGCAGCGCACTATCCAGGGCGCCACCGGGCTGGCCTGGTTTTAGAAGTTTCTTTTTTTTTTTTTTTTGTCTTTTTGTCTTTTTCCGGGTCCGGCAACGGATCGCAACCTTCAGGGTTGCCCCTGCACCGGACCGGGGACCGGCAACAGGACCGCAACCCTCGGTGTTGCTCCCGCGCCTCGCTCAGCCAGCGAGCGCGAACCGGTCTGTATGTGGGATCAGAACCCTCGGGCGGGAGCGCCGCCACGCTTCCCAAGCAGCGCACTATCCAGTGCGCCACCGGGCTGGCCTGGTTTTAGAAGTTTCTAATGACACATCCTCAAGTTCAGAGACTGTTTCCTTATCTGGGTCGAGTCTACTAATGAGCCCATTAAAGGCATTCTTAATTTCTGTTAGACTGTTTTTGATCTCTAGCATTTCTTTTTGATTCTTTCTTAGAATTTTTATCCCTCTTAAATGATTCATCTGTTCTTGCATACTGTCTACTTTTTCCATTAGAGCCCTTAGCTTATTAATCATAGTTGTTTCAAATTCATGGTTTAATAATTCCAATATCCCTGCCATATCTAGGTCTAGTTTTGAAGCTTGTTCTGTTTCTTCAAGCTGTATTTCTTACCTTTTAGTATGCCTTGTAATTTCTTTTTTTGGAAGGTGGTCATGACATCCTAGTAAACAGAACAGTGGAGAATAGTCCTTTGCTAATGTGGTGGTAAGATGTGGGGGAAGGGGAAATGTTCTATAGTCCTATGATTAGGTCTTAGTGTTTCAGTGAGCCTCTATCCCTAGGCTGTAGACTTTACTAATGCTTCTGAGTTTTTTCTGTTTTCACAACTGTATTAGTCCATCTCCGTTGCTTATTACAAAATACCTGAAACTGGCTAATTTTAAGAAACAATATTTATTGCTTACAGTTTATTGGAGGCTGGGAAGTCCCAATTCCAGGGACTTGGTGAGGGTCTTCTTTGTGATGGCTCTATAGTGATGCAGGGTATCACATGGCAAGGTGGCAGAAGCAAGAGAAAGACTAACCTCCTCACTTGGCTGTCCTTTTAAAGCCATCAGAACCAAGCCCATAACCACCATTAAACCATCAGTGGATTAATCCATTCACTAGGGCATAATTCTCACAGTCTAATAACCTTTTTAAGGCCCCATCTTTCAATTTTCGTAATAGGATTTCCCACCCTCTTAACACTGTCAGAGTGAGGGTTAAATTTCTAATACATGGAACTTTGGGGTACACAGTCCAAACCATAGCAACCACCTTCAGTGGGACAGAAAGGCTGAAGGGGTTTGGGGGTTATCTTTCCTCCCATGTGGAAGGCTAGAGTGGGCTGGAGTTGATTATTTCTCTTACCTGTCGTCAGTTAGGGTCTGATAAAACCATATCAGGTTAGGCTCTGGTTAAATAGTTTCTCCTGGGTGCAGACTCTGTCAAGAAAAACAATGCTCTGATGTATGTCAAAATGGTTCCATTTTCCCTTTCCCCTACTGAAAGCATAAGGATATCCTTTTCTGATATTCACCATGAGAATCAGGTCAATCTCCTGGAAATAAAACTCCCAAAAGTGTGGTGGCCCCCTATGACTGAGTGCCCTTAGAATTTTTAACCCTCAGAATTGTCCATTCTGAGCCTCCCGCAAGTTGTTGATGATAATTTAGATTTTTTTATCCAGGCCTTGGTTTACACAGGTTTTGGCTCTTGGGTTTCTTCTCCAGTAAGTTGTAACCTGTTGCTGTTTCCATTTGGGGGGCAGTGGTTTGCCCTGTGATCTCATGTCTCTTAAGGACATAAGAGATGTTGCTTTTTTTTAGTTTGTTCACCTTTTTACTTGTTAGGATGGAGTGGTGACTTCCAAGCTTCTTAAATGCTGGCCTGAAAACCTGGTCTTAAATTGCTAATAATGTGGAACATTTTTTCATGTGCTTTTCTCCCATCTTTCTATTCTCTTCAGTGAAATGTCTGTAAATGTATTTTGGCCATGTTCGAATTTTATTGTTTCCTTTCTTACTGTTGAGTTTTGAGAGTTCTTTATATATTTTAGATACTAATCCTTTATTAGATATGTTGTTTGCAAATATTTTCTCCCACTCTGTAGCTTGTCTTTTTATCCTCTTAACAGTATCTTTTGCAGAGCACAAATTTTTAAATTTGAAGTTCAGTGTATCAGTTTTTCCCTTTATGGATCATGCTTTTATCTCAAGTTTAAGAACTCTTTGCCTAGTCCTAGATCTTGAAGATTTTCTATTTTTTTCCCTAAAAGTTTTATTTTATGTTTTATATTGAAGTCCATGATCCATTTTGAGTGGTTAGTTTTTTTATATGAGTGTGTGTATTGAGACTACCCTTAGACTCAATGATTTGCTAGAAGAATCACAGAACTTAGAAAAGTTTTATA